TCTGTAATTCTGTAATATCTAATATAGCATACAGGCTATAGGCAAGTAATAAAGATTTTAACGAGCACTATACAGCCAAACAGGTCTGTGAGCTGAAATTCTAAATTTATAATTTTTACGAAATTTAATATGACTTAATATAATTGTGATTTATTTAAATTTTGACTATTTGTATAATTATATTGATTATGTATTTGTTATTTTGTAATATTGTCATTTAAAAATTAAATTGTTCATTTAAAATTAAAGTACTTATCAAAATATGCCGTGCCGGGGACCAAACGTCCTATGTCTAATAACTCTCCGGGACGAAACGTCCTATCTTAAAAATTGCCGGGGACGAAACGTCCGGGGACTGGTTTTTTTGACGGGGACAAAAAGGCGGGTGCGAAACGTCCGCGATTCRTTGTGATGTCGTCATGTCGACGTCCCTTTAAATACGGAACAATAATAAAATGCTTCCTAACAGGCTGCCATTTCACTGAAGCAGAAGCTTCTAAGTCCTACTAAATAAAAATCAATCAAAGTTTCGTAAAAAAATTATGAGTAGAGTACTGCAATTTATTAAATAACTTGATTGACTTGTTACAGTTGTTACACGGATATAGATATCTGTATCTGTGACAGTTACTCGTATTTTCAATATTCATTAAGATTTTAGGTATAGATACTATCATTTATTATAAATAAATAGTATTTATAAACAATGATACTATTAACTATATAATAAAATGAAATAATAAATACATGTACTTAATAAATATTAAATAATTTAATTAATTAATTAATATCATAACCTGTACTATTAGTATGGACTCTGTAAACTGTAAACTATTACCTTACATGTTGTATTTGTAATAAAGTATAATAATACTTCCAAATTGCGTTTAAGTACATAATTTAATTGTTTTGAGTTTTGTTTATTGAGGTAAATCATCCATATGATACACGGTAAACACAGTACGCAGAGGTCAYTGTTTCATTGTTCATAAATCATAATTCATAACACATTAAACATGATTTGACAAGGAGTGATTCTTAATCCATCGGAATGATACTACATGTTTTCTAAATCGTTTGATTAGGTATTCAATATTATTTTTAATTTCTCTAATTTTGTTATTGATCGCTGTACAATTGATTTTTCAAATTTTTGATTGATTTCTGTTATTACTTCATTTCTTGAAGGTTAATAACGCAGAAATTATAGAACATAAAAGCCATGGATTGCCGAGATTGCCTGCTGTAGTAGGTTAACATTATAATTTTTTTTTTTATCTAGGTAGGTACAATACATTATTTATACTATAATCATAAAAACAACTATTTAACTTTGTTAAACTTATCAAACCATTAAACGGTAATATCTATAACGGCTTTATATACTATTCAAACCCGTACTGCCGATACCTACTAATCTATTTGAATTTAAATTTGTCGTTTTCCCGCTGAAATGAAATGTATGCAAAGAAAATCTAAAGTTTTTAGCAAATATTTTTGCTTATTCAATAAAAATTCATAATATCTTTTTTGGACTATTTGATAATTATTAATAGCCAAATAACTAATAAGTAGTTAGTAAGTGCTCAGTTGGTGTCTTGGATGTATTAAAAACAATTTCTAATACAAATTTGTGTATATARGACGTAATATTATCATGTATAATTTTATGAATGTTTTGTTAGGTACCATTTATGGAGGTAAACAGCAAKTTGTACCTACTATAATGTTTGGTAACCAGTACTTGAATTGGGAAAAATAGAAATAAGAATGGGATGCAAAAATTTAGCAAAAATATTCGTACCCGAGTCCTAAATATTTAAATTTCTTATTAATTGAGATATTATAAGAAAGGATACGCTGAAATATAATTAAAAAGAAGAGAGACCTCCCCCTCCAGCATCACCGGACAATACGAGCATTGTTGATAACAATACTGTTGTGGCAGTTGTAGGTAATCATGTTATGTATAAAGCGTCCATCGTGGTATCGTCTGATTATTGCTTTTGTGTTGTACTGTTTGCATCAAGTCTCAACACTCTCAACGGCTACCTCGAGGCGTTAAGTGATTATCTGGACCTTTGGTTTATAATGCCATYCTGGACGCCATTTTTAGTAGATTAATTTTTATTTTTACTTGAATCTTAAGTGTTCAAATTTTCATAAACTTGTCATCAAGTATAATTTAAAAATCCTGACTAAACGTATTTTAATTTTAAAGCTTGAACATCATAATCGTTAGTAGAATACCTTTTAAGTTTTTTTTTTAAATATTCACTGAATATAATATTATTATTTATATTGATTG